AGGAAGAGGAAGGGTGGAGGAGGGACAATGTCCTCTGCAACAGTGTGGATCGGTTATTAAGGATGTTTATGGGCAATTAGTGGATAGTGTTACCACAGGCACCTTCAACCCAAAGCAGCAGGTACGTCATGTATAACTCCTTCTCTAGTACATCCCTGTTTGGATTAAGATTACAACTTTGGAAACTAACGGGCTCTTTCCTAACGTCTCTGACAAAGAGATTAACAGATGGTGACGAGATATTTGTACTGTCTCCAATATCATCAGTTATTTCTAATGACCTTTATTGTATATGTTAATTATAAATGCAAACTGATCCATTGTTTTCCTGGCAATGTAATGTAGACGAAGTGCTTGGAAGAGAGGAGGATCAAAGACCTTGCCCAAAAGCATTCTGATGACACGGGGATGACGGAAAATTAACAAGCAGAAACCTGTCTTTGCTCTGCAACAATGGATTTCTAGCAGCAGAATATGCCATACAATAAATGCCATTGTGTTCTTGAAGTCTACCCTTTGTATGGAAGCGGCTATCACAATAAATGCAATAGCCCAACTCCACAGAAGGATGGCGGCCATGTCCGAGGAATAACACTGGCGGAGGCCGAAGCGGTGGTGGAGGTTGCTGGCCTTCATTTGTCCATGCAAGCCGAGGTATGAAGTTGGTGGAATGTGAGTGAAGAAAGGAGGCAGAGGGATGTAAAATCACTTGGGGCAGGGGAAGGCTCAAAGGGTCAAAGGGATTGTAGAATGTCAGCAAGGAGAAAACACACTAAACACTAATTTAAAGGACTTTGAGGCTTTGCGGTTGTTTGATACTCTACTGTGTTATTGCACTCCTCGTATAGAACATATGTATTTGTAGGGTATACTTAATGATCCTTCTTACTGCTTTGTACTTTGGCTTTTAAGCAATTTTGCTTCATTTTTGATTCGACAGCCTGCAGAGATTACCAGGGAGGAGTATGCAGTCTTCTACAAGAGTCTAATAGATGATTTGAAGGATCACTTTGCTGTGAAACACTTCTCTGTTGAAGGGAAGCCAGGTTTCCAAGCCTTGAATATTCAACCAGATTACATATGATACAGAAATGAGCTGCGAGAATTTTATACAGCGACGTCACCTATTGCAATGAGGAAATATTGCCGACTGCAATCCCAGTGTTGGAGAAGTTTGGATTCTTGCTACTTAAGATTATCCGTTTTGGTACCTGAAGGAGTTATACATTTGTAGAATCTGAGAGGGAGGAGTCGCTTCTGGTTGTTGCTAGAGATAATTTTGCCCATTACCCTCATGGCGTGGATGATCCTGAGCCTAAGTACTGTACAGCCCAACTTAAGATAGTTGAGGTGGATTTATCAGGAGGAGGAGGAGGAGGGAAAGGGGGGGTCATCCCCTCGATCGAAACAAGTCAAGAGCTTGGGAAACAGAGAGCTTTTTATTGGCCATAGTGCTTCAACTTCGTCTGAGGTTCCTTCCGATGATAATCCGACCCCCGGAGTCAAACCCAATCATATTTACTTCACAGACGATTGCTGGTCCGGATATATCAATATTAAAGGAGGAGGAGGCAAAGAAATTGGTGTCTATGACATGATGAAAACGGGAACCATTGAGCCCTTCTACCATGGACCTCAAATGCTCAGCAGCATTTGCCCCTCAGCCTCGATTACACCCAAGTTTTAGTAGTAGATGCTAGCGAAACCCTCATGTTGTTTATTGCTCATGCAAATTGTCTTTTTTGAAATCACTTCGTTTATCCCCTCAAATAATTTCTTTGTAGGGCACTGATCATTTTTTTTAATTTCTGTTTCATTTTACTGTCAGCTGGCGCTGATAATCTAATGTAACGTAAATCCTACCCAAATTATACTTATTTCCCGTCAAATTTATTTACTGCTTCTGTTAAAAAATAAATGCTGAAACTGGTGATTTCAATGTCCTGAAACTGAACTGTCTTCGTAATTGATTTCGAGCAACCAGGAAATTTATCACCTAAAATACTGATATCATATAGCTTTGACATTCTTGCATTCTACAGGGAGAAGAATTTAAGTGCATTCCTCAGGAGCTTCTCCATCAACTTCTGTTACATCAACATTTGAGATGTATAATCTAATAATTGCCTTCCGATATTTTCTATCATTTACCTTCTATACTTGATGATCACACGATGCACAGTGGTTTTGTTGCCTTTACATTCTAAACATATCCACTTTCCCTTGAATATTAAACCAGATTACAGATGGTACAGCGATGAGTTAGCCTTAAACTCTAGCCTCTTCGATCCAGTTTCCTACTTCATTTGCAAGCTTAATTATAAGATTATAGGTGTCTCGTACGTAGGATGGAAAACGTCAAATTTATTTTTCTTTTGTTTGAAGGAATACTAAGACAAGCAAGAAGTCCTGTGACTTGCATTACATAGCTAATGTCCCTTGCAAATACAGTCTTGGGTAGATCTTGTAAAGGTTTATCATTCATAAATTTGCATGATAGTATATGCTAATGTAGATGCTTTAATCGTATCAGGGAAAAAGGGATCGTGATTCGTGACATTGCTATTCCCTGTATTCAGTAATGTGAAGATTCTTTAACAAAAATGATTCATAGTCTTCGGTGATTACCCATTGTGATGGCCTACTGGTAACATACATTTACGGAACATTAGGATAAAGCATTTATGCTGGTGATTAACCTCGCTTTTATCTGCATAGTTGTTATGGTTTTAGACGTTAAAAGGAGGGTTAAGTGAAAAGCGTAAAGCAATTTTGGTACCCTCAAAAGCGTACTGCGCTTTCCGTTGTTCATCTCATATATTCATTCCTAGAAACTGACTTTGATTCTAATGAGTAACTTACATTAATTGCACCTGTTGATATATTTATTACTAGGTAGGGTAGGAATGGCTTTTCAATTTGGACGTATTATCTTCGGCCAAATTTGTGGTTGTGGTGAATATTGTTGATTTTGAGAACCTATTTACATTAGTTTCAAAAAACTTGAAAACCATGACGTAGCTTAAGTCACATGTTTCTAGTCCATAGGAAGAAGGTAAGTTGAATATTTCACAGAGAATTTTTTTTGGTATTTAATCCGTTTATTTATAGGGCAAAAAATCTATTTTTTGGTATTTATTCCATGGCGGATGGCGAAGTGCGGCAGCAGCAGCAGGGAGAACTGCAGAACGACGATGCAGAGAATCCACATCCCATTATCCATCTGGACCATGGCCTTCATCCGGTTGGCTATCGTATTGCTTGTAATCGCGACAATGACACGCAATATCAAGTTGGAAGATACTTTCCAAAATATCTTTTTTAGTTATAAAATCTTTTAAAAAAATATTCTACAAATTATCAATTAACTAAAGTAATTCAAATAACCATTTTATCTATTCAACTGCGTCTTTATCTCATACACATAAAATTTCAAAAATCAATATAATGCTGCTCTTAAAAAAAAAATTTATAAATAATATTCTATCCAAGCACAAGTACATGTAAAATTGCTGCCTTATCAGATCACATCTCTGTTAATGTGAATTGGCTCATGAAAATAACTCATGAATTGGCTCTTTTTGCCAATCCTTTGGAATTCTTTGCCAACTTTTGTCAATTATTTGTGAGTGGACGATTTCTAGCAATCTTAATAATAAAATTTCTTTTTTTCGTATGTATAAAAAAAACACAAGCACATATATTTGCTTCTTTTTCATTCGAGTTGTAGTTAAGTTACGGCCAATGCCCCTCGGTCACTTTCGAATGGTTAGCTGGTCCAATGCATAACCCAAACCCGTGACTCGTAAAGTCGTTAGTGAAGATGCGGGCACTTCACGATGGCATGCAAACTTGGACATGTGACGTGGACCCAACCACCCACCCAACCGCTGACCAATCTCCTCAGCATCATTCCACAACAATACACAAAATTCCCACAACAAACCCACTAACTTTTTTTTTTTTGTTATTATTATCTGGAGAATCTCATTATTATTAAAGTACTTTGTTATTATTATTTTGTCCCCAGGAGGAGAACTACGTCCACGTCAGACAGTCAAAATGAACATTAAAGAATGCATTCAGAAAATATTTTTGTCTATGTATGGGATCCTGTATTCGTTGCCATATGAGATCCCAAAATCACGTGGCTGATGGAAATTTTACTAATAGTACCCAAGATTCATTTTAGCCTTGTTTGGACAGTAACGTTTCCAATCATTTTTCATCTCACATATATCAAATTCCTACAATATTTTTTTACAAAAAAATTCAGAAAAATACAGTCTAAACAAGCGCCTTGTGTAAGTTACTTCCTGGGCATACGCTTGTTCATCCCATGCTTTACGTTTTGCAGATTGGGATGAGGAGCATGAGAGATAGTTTACGAAGAAAAATAGAAACCTAATTTCGAGTGAACACGTGGCATGTATTGCCGCATAGAGATAAATAAGTTTTGTTTTGCCAATATATTGAAATTATAAATGCTTAAATTCTGTACAATATATATTAAAAGTGCTGAGCTAGCAGTGTTGGAAAATTCCTCCCCTTTGGCAAAAGCTGAGCTAGCATTAACTAATTAGATTAAACCAGGGTCACGGGTCCACCTGCAATCGATTTCTTGCATCTAAAAAGAACAACCAAAAGATCACTTCATCTTACATAATGTAAGAAGGATATTTTAGAAGGACAATAATAGGTTAGATTTACTTTTCTTATAAAGTTAATTAATTTTTTTTTAATTATATGAATAAAAAAATCAAAACCATCAAAATAGGATGAGGGAACCATTATGTCCATTAAGCAAATTATTATACAATAATAAAAAAGTTTTGAATTGATATGTTTTAAAATTTTTATAAAAAATATATATATATTATCGCAATTTGATATATATAAAATTTTTTAAAAAATAAAAAATATATTTACGACAAATCTAAATTTTTTTTAAAGAAATAAATGACTTTTCAAACAAGGCAATATGACTTCTATGTTCGGATACATTGACACGAGTGAAATGGACAAGAATTTCCCACCTTATAAAGACAGGTGATGACGTTCCTATTTCCTATGCAATGAAACGAACCTACAACTACCTCTCCTTGAAGTCACAGAAGCCCAAGATGGGGTTCAAGCAAAGTCATACAAGAATTCAAGTAAAGCTTCTTGTTTTTTCCCCTCTTCTTCACATTACTCCTATCAGTTTCAATCAACCCCTTCTTAAATTGCTCTCCAAAAAAGCTGATCTTCTTGATGTTTTGACAGGTTATCAACATAGTTTTCGTCCTTGCTGCTGTGATTCTGACGAGTTCAAGAGATGTTAATGGCAGAAAAGTTCACCACAGGGAATATTATTTCGAGTATTCCAGCATAAACTGCAGAGAACATAGTGGTTCCTTGACAGATTTTGGAGGGGTTGGTGATGGAACAACATCAAATACAAAGGCTTTCCAGGATGCCATCAATTATCTCAGCCAATTTGAATCAGAGGGTGGATCCATTCTCTACGTTCCTCCTGGAAAATGGTTGACAGGAAGCTTTAACATCACCAGCGATCATTTCACCCTCTTCCTCCACCAAGATGCCGTTCTCCTTGCTTCTCAGGTTTGTTTTGCGACTAATTTCAAACAAAAGAGAAAACGAAAATCGAATTAGGATCCTTCAGTCAACTTCAAAGCAGTTACAACTTTCATTCCTCGCGTGCATATATCTTTATGTTTCTCAATCTGTTCGTATCTTCGTCTGGAGCATGGCCTTTATCTATGCATAAACTCTATTTCCACCACTTTTACTAACGGTTGCTTAAGAGCCCTAATTAGATAGGTGCTAGGAGAGAAGTAACCTAAGTGCTTCATCTTTCACATCTTAATTTGTGGTGGAGAATGGACCAACTTGCTTCAGTCTCCAGATGGGTCACTTTTATAGCGCAAAATCGAAAGCGTTAGAGTAGTGGCGTAAATGGAGGACATATGGATATGCTAGTCCACATAGAAATCCAATTATTGAAATGGGAAAGTGACACTCGGCCGCCCACATTCCAAGAAGCATTTTGACAATTTCTATGTGCACGTGTGGACTAAAGCCACATTAGGATTTAGGACTTGTCCCATGCAGCCAAACGGTTCTCCCTTTTCTGTTATTTTAACAACAATTTAATACACATAGAGGGTTTTGATGGTCAGCACCTGTAAACCAAGTATTTTTGGTATAGGCAGTCGAATCAAGAAAAAATTTTGCCATCTGTGTTTGCGGGCAAGACATAAAAGTGTTAAACTACCTGCTTGAAAGTATCAAGAATGGTTAAATATTGATTAAGCTATCAATTTCTGAGTTAGATTTCCATTGGATTGATGGACACAGAAAGATCTTTGCATATCTAATATCACAGCTTCAACATTTTTTATTTCGGTTTAGGATGAAAGTGAGTGGACTGTAATTGAACCCCTGCCATCATATGGTCGAGGGAGAGACACTGAGGGTGGAAGATATATCAGTTTTATATTCGGAACTAACCTCACTGACGTTGTTATAACAGGTACCACCACAATTGATTTTGTTATGTGAGAAGTTTCTGGTAGTTCGGAAGTAGATTTAGATGGAGCAAGAAACTCACTGTTAGTTCGTTTTCAGGGGACAATGGCACAATTGATGGTCAAGGCGAGCCCTGGTGGGACAAATTTCACAAAGGAGAACTTCAATATACACGTCCTTACCTTATTGAGCTTTTGTACTCTGATAATATCCAGATATCCAATCTTACGTTGGTTAATTCTCCATCATGGAATATACATCCAACTTATAGCAGGTAACTGGGCTATTTCCTCTTAACCCCCCCCCCCCAACCCCCAGGCGGGCGGGGGCGGCATAAGCAAGAGTAAGCAATTGTTCTATCAAGTCCATTTATTAAACTTCATGATGCATCTAAACGTAAATGTTTCATAAAATGATGCAGCAACGTAATTGTCCAAGGCGTCACTATTACAGCACCAGTAACATCCCCAAATACTGATGGCATCAACCCGGGTAAACCAGTGGAATATCGGAAACTTTGTTTAGTTCTCATTTACCAACATTGAATTTGAAAGTCATTCTTGATTGACACGTCCTTTGCCCTTCTGGTATAATATTCAGATTCTTGCACAAATGTTCAAATTCGGGACTGCTATATTGTCTCTGGGGACGATTGCGTTGCAGTTAAGAGTGGTTGGGATGAGTATGGAATTGCTTTTGGGATGCCGACCAAGCAGCTCTTCATCAAACGACTGACCTGTATCTCACCATCCAGTGCAACCATCGCGCTAGGCAGTGAGATGTCCGGAGGAATTGAAGATGTCAGAGCAGAAGACATAGTAGCAATCAATACAGAATCTGGAGTCAGGATCAAAACAGCAGTTGGAAGGGGAGGCTACGTGAAAGATATATATGTGAAAGGGATGACCTTGAAAACTATGAAATATGTATTCTGGATGACAGGAAACTATGGGTCTCATCCTGATAATAATTATGATCCAAATGCTCTCCCTGCAGTTGAAAATATCAACTATCGTGACATAGTAGCTGAAAACGTTACCATGGCTGGGCGGTTGGAAGGGATTCCTGGTGATCCCTTTACTGGAATATGCATATCAAATGTCACCATTGAGCTGGCACAGAATGCAAAGAAATTACCTTGGAACTGCACTGACATTTCTGGGATTTCAAGTGGTGTCACTCCTCAGCCTTGTGATTTATTGACACAGCAGGGAGAGGAATACAGTCCATCATGTGACTTTCCCACAGAACATCTACTGATTGATTAGGTTGAAGTCCAGTCTTGTTCCTGCAATACTAAATTACTGAAAAGGAATGCCTAGTAAAAACACCATGTTTGGAAATCTTTCATATTGATGCCAAGAAGATGGTTGCATTGATGGAATATAGGATTTTATTTACGCAAATTGACCGCATAATCAAGCTAAGGTCCCTTGCTTTCAATTATGAATGAAAGAAACACGATATAATATCATCTGTGGGAAAACGCTTTACCTCTTCTGGCAAAGGACTTCAAGCCGAGCTAATGTAGCAACACACTCCAGTTCTGCGTGCAATATAATCCACTCGTCCTCGTCTAGATTTCAAATATGTTAACACTTTTTTTTTTTAACCCAAGGATATGCTATATACTGCCAATTACTGACACCACATTTACAAACAAAGTAGCATAGGATTGCATCAATCTCAAAACATTAAGGTCCAAAACATCCACTAACAGCGAAGGAGATCTTTGACGGCCTGCAGCGTGTTTGGATTGCTGAATAATTTCACATAGTATTTTGTTAGTATTATAAACACATTTCTCAATCCATCTTTTTATATTTCCAACTACCTTTTTATCTCATATAAATCACATCACAAAAAGCGTTACGGTAATTATCCCAACTAATACTCTATCCAAACACACTCGAAATCCTGTTCAACAAGGAAGCTTGCCGGTTGTGAGCAGGTCCCCTCGCTGAAGAAGGTTCTAGATAACACTAACTTGCAGCATTGCAAATTACATAACTAGAGAACAAAACCACTTTTGAGTGGCGTACGGAATCTCCTAACACATAACTAGAGTCTTACAGCATTGCAAATCATAACTTCCCCATCACACCTTGCATTATTTCCAACATTTTGTACAACAAATGCTAATGTTACATCTAACTGATTAACAAGTTGGGTCAGGGTTCAACTTCACTGCTTCCTTCCAGATGAGATCCTTGACGTTTTCTTCAGTTATTGATGGTTCCTCAAAATCAAAATGGAAAGGTCTTGGGCAAACTGGCTCATCATTGATATCATGAAGAGATTTCAAGAATGGATGACAAAGCGCTTCCTCAACTGATGCAAATCCAAAGAAAAAATTAAACTAACAGGGTAAAATCTTTAAGGCTAAGAAGTTCTCAAATACGAGGGTCGGAGGTACAGAAGTTCATATTTGAAGTGCCTTTACCTGTAATACGTTTGCTGGGATCAAAGACAAGCATCTTTTCTAGCAAATCGACAGCCAGAGGAGACATGTTTGGAAATCTAGCCGTTAATTGTTGTTTTGGGTATTGAGGAAGTTGCCTGACATACTTCCGAGCATTATCACTTCGCAGGAATCTAAGGCTTGCATCATCAGGAGTACCCAAGAGCTGAAGTGTAAAAGGATTAGTATGAATACAATATGCAATGGCATGGAGTAGTTCAATTGAAATAGCGTCAAATATCACTTTATTTTATTCTTTTGCTGTGTCAAATAACCCTCATCAACAACCTTCTCCTTCTCCACAAGTTTTACTTCGTATAAATCCTAAATTAATAATAGCTCATGTAGCCATGTAAGAAGAGCAAGAGAGATTGATTCTAAAGATGAAATGTGGTTCTGCCAAAATTTGTGGTTCTAGGAAATTAAAACAAAGGACAATAAATCTCGGCTCAAATTATTTGCTAGAATGCACTCCGAAATAAGAATTGTTTAAGACATAATAATTTAGATTATGAAAATTCTGCCCCTCCATTCACTCATTCATTAGTCGCTATTACTCGGTATTACTTTATCATCACTGTTTTTTTTCCTCCCTTACAGCTTCTCTTTCTTCACTACTTTCCAACTTTTAAACGTAGAGTAAGAGTTAAGTTCCCAGCTCATGGAGATTAAAAGCAAGAATTCCCAGTGGAAAATGACTTCAAACAGAATCTCAGAAAAATGATACCTCTGTGATGAGTTTGAGCTGATGAACATAATCTCTACCAGGAAATAAAGGTTCTCTTGTCATGATTTCACCAAAAATGCAACCTACTGACCAAATATCTATAGCAGCAGTGTACTCAGAGCAGTTGAGGAGCAACTCAGGTGCCCGATACCAACGAGTGACAACATATTCTGTCATGAAATCTGTTTCTGATGTTGTCCTTGCCAAACCAAAGTCTCCAATCTTAAGGTCACAATTTGCATTCAGAAACAAATTGCTGGGCTTGAGGTCACGATGCAATACATTGGCTGAGTGTACATATTTCAGTCCCCGCAAAAGCTGGTACAGAAAATACTGAAGAAAAAAACAACAGGGCATTAACCTTGAAGTCATGACCAGTTGTCGTAACCACAATTGCCAGAAACATGTAAGCAACAAACTGAAAGTTAGTGATGAAGCGACAAAGTCTTGCATGATTGGTTTACAATGGAAACTTAGTGAAAAGTCAGTTCATATAGCAGCATTTGATTAAAAAGGTGCTCAAGTTCCAAGAAAAGTAAGTAGGCAGATTGTAAAGGCGAGCAAATACTGCTGATTGAAACAACTAGAAAATCAGTTGAATAACTATTAATTTGAAGCTCTAGAGCTTTAGCATGCAACATAGTAACACATGAAAGTGTTAGTACTAAACCTGAGAGTGATCGTCAGTCAATTCTTGGTCAGAGCGAATAATCTGATGAAGATCAGTATCCATCAACTCATAAACAACGTAAACATCATTGAAAGCTTCCCTGTTTGGTGGTTTTATGATATCCTTGATAGCAATAACCTGATAAGCAACAGCACAACCACGACTTATCAAACCAAATGATCCCTCCTTATCTATTAGACAAACTTTAAAATTCCAAGAGCCACAATCGGAAAAAAGGGTAGCAATCTCGAAAACTACCAAGAAAAAGCTCTGAACAAATGAGCAATTTCTATTTTGTTTCTCCCAATTGATCAACAAATCAGATGAAATTGTTAGCTTCGAACATCAAGCTTGAACTCACGTTTTCATGATCCATGTGGCGGAGGAGTTTAATCTCCCTCAAAGTTCTTTTGGCGTCAACTCGATTATCAAAAGCATTACCAATTTTCTTGATAGCAACCTCCTCAGCAGTATGTGCATTCACAGCAGCACTGTACCCCAAAAAAAAACACAGAAAACAACAAAAAATCCAATCTTTCAGCAAACCAACCTAAGCCCAGATGGTAAAATCTTTACATAGACCAATAAAACTAACAAAATCAATAAAAGGGCTCCATTTTTGTATTACCAAACAAGGCCATAAGCACCACGGCCAATTGGGCGAATGGGAGGGACATATTTGTTGGAGACTTCAAACAAGATACCGAAAACATTATATCTAACATATCTGCCTCCATGAATAAGCACTCCTTTGATGCTATTATTGCCTTTTTTAGAACTGTTACTTTCAAAAGCTGCTGAACTACCATTATGGTTGGCCATTTGAGCTTTTGAACAAGATTTTAGATTTCAAATCTGATGCTGGAGGGGTACTGCCGAGTCAAGACGGCTTTTAGAGTTGCTTTTTCAGGCGGAGAGGGGGTTCAGTGGCTGAAGATTTGAAGTGGGGTTACGATTTATTGGGATAAGTATGGTGCATTTTCTGGCACGGTGCTCGGCTGGGGGAAAGGGCGGAGACTGGAGTTGGGGCTGCTTTGAATCTGTGAACGCGGTTTCAACGTTCGTGAAGTGGCATAGACTTCTGAAAGGTCAAAATTAAAAATGATCTCAAAAGTTCTCATATTTTCGCGATCTCAGCATAGGCCTCGTAGAATATTTAAATTTTCTGGCCCCTAAATGTCATATTTTAACATTAGGGACTCACAGGTTGAGTTTTGTTTATTTCAAATCAATTTATGTAAATGTTGTAATTTTTTGTGTAAATTCATACAACTTGGGTATAAATTTAAATCTCACAATTCATATTATGAAATTGACTCAAATTTTAAGGCCCTAGTCGACTTTTAACTTCTTGGCATCTTTGGCCAAAAATTTGTAGAGCACCATTACTTGCCAAGTCAAATGGATAGGATTCAATCAAATTGGACCTTTATCATTTCAGAAATGGTAAATTCCAAAGCCTTTCAAGTTCAATAATTATTTATTTTTCATAAATAAAGTGAAAAGGGCAAATCGATTCACAAATATTTCCCCAAGCCCATTACAAATAATAGAATAACACAGGGGCAAAGAAGTAATGTCAGTTCCTAATTTCACTCGTCTGACCTGATTGGAAAACATGTATCTCTATTTTCTTTTTTATTTTCGTTTTCTGGGGCTAAAGAGTTTGGCAGAAGGACTAAAATTTACATATAGAAAGAATTTTATGGGTCAAATAGTTAAGAACAAAAAAAGTTTAAAGTAAAATCATTCAAAATGACTCTCATATTTTATCAAATGACATTTTGTCGTTCTTCATTTTTAAAATATTAACTTTACGTTTCTTACAAATTCAAGTTAATAATTTTTTGCCCCAATTTAATTTTTCGATCACTTTTAACCTGAAATCACTGCATAACCTACATGTAGTCATTTTTTATGTATAAAAAGTTCAAATCCTACTTTTTTAATGGCACAAATGATTATGGATTGGTATCTCTCTTTTTTTTTTTTTAGGAAAAGAAGAACATAGTTCGCTCCAAATCCTACATTTTTTAGATGCAAAAAATGAATATGGATCATGTCATTTGTTTAACTACAAATAGAATCTAATTTTTTTGCATCTACCAAAATGATCATATATGGATCATATGATGGATTCAAAATAAAAAGTGTTCGAAAATTTAAATTGGAACTAAATTTTATTGACTTGATTTTATAAGGGACGTAAAGTTACCATTTTAAAAGTAATGGAAAAAAAATTTATTTGGTGAAATATGAAGGACATTTTGAATGATTTTTCAAAAGTTTAAACTCTGATTGAGATTATAAGAAATATTTAAGCCTTTATGTCAATATGCTTAAGACAACTTGCTTAAGAGCAATCAACGTCCAATAGGATAGTGTACTTATATAATACCCATTTTTCCCAGTATTTGGTAAGATATTTTCGGATTTACGACTACCTATGGGTTTCCTCAATTTTTTTAATCGTGAATTGAACTTTTAAGTTAGGTATCTTAATTAACTGAACTGAAACTTTAAAATATTCAACGGCAACATGGAAAAAAAAAACTCTAGA